ATAGCTGCAGAGGGTTCAAGTTGGAGAGAGAAGGAGAGAGAGAATGGCTTAACTTCAAAAGTCATTTCTGTCCCCTCTGTCCATATGTCTGCTACCACCTTTCAACCTCAAAACCTATCTCCCAGGGAGGCATATTTAGTGGTGTGTAAATAAACCAACCTAAAAGTAAAAAAACCCACCTCCAGTGAAACATCTCCTAATGTTCATGGTCTCAATACACCTACCATGATCCATTTCAAGTTGTAAATAGCTTACCAGCAGTTCCTAAATCCTTGAATATTTAACAGTTGTCTCTCATGAGCTATCCCAAGACAGCTCCAACACACCACTGGTTCTTACGGTAACCATTTAACTTAATTTGCTGTATTCAGAACTTTGTCCTGAAGTCCCATCTATATAGCTTAGCATTTGTTCTGCCCCCTTTCACTTTCAAAAGTGTCCCAGTTTGGACACTAAATTAAATGGTCACCCCACATATTTCTCTTCCTGTTCCTCCTACATCCTTCCCACATGAACCCCCCTCCCTGGTACCCTTCCACTTGGTTAATTACCATCCGTGGTGAAGCGCCTGCACTCCTCAGGGGACATGCCTGGTTTATATGCTGCGTCCACATAACCGTAGATATAGGTGCTCCCAGAGCCACCAATGGCAAAGGGCTGTCGGGTTAGCATTCCTCCTAGGGTTCCATATACCTGGGGGAGGCATCCTCAAGTCAGACTAAAGAAGCACCAATCCTCTTCTTGCCACTGAGGCAGGCAGGCAGTCCCCATGGTCTGCAGTGAAGTCCCAGTATCTCCTACCCTCATCAGTGGAGACTGTCCCATGTTTTTAGAAGCAGTGTCTTTGCGACTCACTGTTGGAAGGACAAAGGACCTCCAGCTCCCTCTCGAGGAGAGTGGGGAACCCCAAGGGAGAGACTACATTGGGGGAGACTCACTTGGCCACCTTCGCGTTGGTCCCAGCCGGCTACCATGAGATGTGCAGATAATTCCTCCCGATATTTATAGCTGATATTTCTCACCACATTTGCAGCAGCCAGAACAAGTGGAGGTTCTTCCAGTTCCATCCTAAAGGAAATGTTAGAAGGGTCAATATAATTTCCTAAAGTCCCACCCTTCCGTGCCATTACCATCATCCTTGCCAAGTGACACCTGAAACCTTTGGCTGCAATAGGGGTCAAACTTCAGCTCACATCTCACGTGTGAGGGGAATCAAGTCACACCATCAGCTGGTAAGAAGATTTCAGTTGTGCGCCTCCTTTACCTTGTCCCACCTGCCACCCCCGACCCAATGATATAACTCTCTGGGCTACAAGGGCCCTGCCAGTGTGGGTAAAAGCAGATTAGCATTATTTCCCCCCACCCTGGTGACCTGGTTTCCCATAGGGTCACCCGATACATGGGCCACATCATCATTTTCTTCCTCATTATTTATATTAGGATAAAGATTTACAGTCTTCAAACTGTATTCACATCTATCATATGGTTCTGAAAATAACTATCTGGTGAGTTGGGTAAGGTACTATTATCTCCACTTTACAAATGTGGAAACCAGCTTGGAGAGATTCAAGTGTCAGTTAAAAGTTAATAAAAGCAGAAGTTAAAATCAGAATTTTTCTTTAAATTTTAATTGCAGTGCTCCTGGAACAGGGTACTCACTGTATGGGGGTTCAGTGGTTTGGGGGAGCTCTAGCAGGGGTAGTGTGAGGACCCCAAAGCTTCATACCCATGGAGCTCCAGCTGGTAGACAGCCATGTCGGCCACAGCCTGGGCATCAGCGGCCGAACCAGAGAGCGCACAGTAGATGCGATGATGTAAGGGGGACAGCTTGTCAAACACCCGGTTCACCACAGCCTCCCTGTAGGGAAGGGGTCAACGGTCATCAATGTTAGAGTTGCAGGAATTTTGGAGATGTCCAGTGGTTCTTAAATTTATTTGACAAGAGAACAGCATGGAGCGCATGAAATTTAATGCTTGGATTAAAGCAAGAAGCAAATCATCATCTCAAGTAAATGAAACGCTGCAAGTAATCAAAATTAGACTTATTTTCAGGCTTAGATTTTATAATAAAATAAAAATACTAAGAATAATACTAATCAATTTTTCTTTACAATTAACCATCCTGAGGAAGTTATGTGTTCTGTGGAACATAGAGTAATATTGCTGTAATCTCATATTCATTTTGCATGTGAGGAAACTGCCCAGGAGGGAGAAAGACAAAATTAGTTCAACATGTGATAGATGAGAAACCAGGATACCAGCTTGTCAGAACCATCTTTTCTATCTCTAAAAATGATGGATGGCGGGCCACTCAAATCTCTATCTGTATCCCTTTCCAGACCCTGTTCCTTCCAGGGCAAGGCCGCACAGCATTCAGGCCCTGGACCTCCTCTGTGAATTCTGAGACTCAAGCACCCACCCAATACCTTATTATATTGACCTTTCTGAAAGGTTCACTCCACTTCTCCAAAGCTCTAGTTCACCATGCTCTTCATGAACGGGTTAAAGAAATGCATATTTGGGGCCATTAGCTTCTTTCCAAAGCATATACCTTCACTGATACTTACCCTGCAGACACCCGAGAATCAGAACCCACCACAACGCCTCCATCAAACTCTACTGCCATAATGGTTGTCTGTAGAGACACAGAGGATGGGATGTCAGAGCCAGAAGAGCTTTGATCCCCTCGTGTCAGAGGTGAGGAGACATTCCCAGAGAGGAGAGGGGACTGGCTCCAGGTTACACAGTAATTCAGGCCAGATCTGACTCCCAGCATAGGATTTCTTCTCCAGCTTTCTGTTTTCTCTATTGTCTCTCCTGGCTGCGAGGGAATGCCACAGCCTGGCCATGGTACAACACAGGAGGACCTGCAGCGTAAGCCTCAACCTTCCAAGTGGAATCCTTTCCACTGTAAAGAGAGAGGTGGGGATGAGACTCCTAGAGGCAGAAGTCTGGCTCAGGGGGCGCTTCTAAGCACCAGTGAGGCAGCCCCACAAGCGAATTACAATCTCCATCACATGTATTTATTTGTGTGTGCTGATGTGGTGCAGACCTGACAGAGCAATTACTGTGACCTTGGAAACAAGTTCAGGTCTATTTGGGGCCCTGAATCCCCCACCCACACCCTCCTTAGTTAGAGTTGAGTCCTTCAGTTTAATGAACACAGGAGAACATTGAGGGGGACCCCGGTCGGCAGGGCCATGTCTTAAGGAAGGAGGAAAGCAGGAAAGGACATGAGACAGTTTAAAATAAAGATTTTGTTTAAGGATTTCTGAGAAAGAGGTAAATAGATACTCAGTAGTCAGGAGAAGAGACCTGTACCAAGAAATGATTTGATTGAAGAGTTTGAGCTGACTTTTCCAGGTCAAGAGAAGAATTAAGAGTTAAAGGAGGATAAAGTTACACTTTTCCACTTCTGTTGAGTTGGAAAAAGGCTTAAAGATCTCTGGTTCAAATGAGAAACTGAGTCATAGAGAAGGTAAGTGACTTGTCCAAGGTCACACAATTAACAGGAGACCTGAGACTAGAATCCAGGTCTAACTGCCATCTCCTGATGGTCTTCTACTTCCTCCTTTCTGTGGCTCATTGGCAGCAAGGGGAAATTCTCTAACTTCTCACCACTCTGTAAATACTCTGGCGGGGTACTCTCTACTGCCGGAGCAGTGCTTCCCGAATACTGATTTACCTACTGATTTACCCCGAGAGGGCAGAGGCAACCACATCCTCAGGGTCAATCCTCTGTAACAAAGTGCACCCCCAAGCGAAGAGTGGTGGCAGCAGTCTGGGGACGGAAGCCAGCCAGCCTTGGGCTGCCATCCCCACCTCTCCGGCAAAGTCCCCAGCGCGTGCCCGGGAGTGGGCAGGGAAGGGAGTTGGCAGCGCCAGGGCCAAGCAAGAGCTCTCCTGGGCCAAGATGGGGAAGGCACCACCGTCTCGCACGGAACCCCCATTATCAGTGCTGGGGCCATGGTTACCTAGGTGCCAGTTTATCAAAAGTCTGCGTGATAAGTTGGCCCTTCTCATTCAGTGCCCATCTTCCCCTCTCCCAAATACTATCCTATTTCACCCAAGGCACCATTTCCTTATCTCTGTGCATCTTCTCCAACCCCCTCCCTTGATTTAACCACCCCTCTTTCTAGTCCAGAGTGAAAGCGAAAGCGCTTTAGGACTTCCAGCTAAGAGCCAAAGCACCCCCTTCTCCACCAGCCTCGCAGGCCCAGTCCCCTCGGGGGCCCCTAGATGATCCCCTTCAGAATAGAAACGACGTATTTCATTGCGGGGACTGGTGCACTGAGGACTACAAGCTACCTCCTCACTCTTGTTAGCCTCCGCGTTCCCTCCTTGGTGCTTCCAGAGCCCCCAGTCGCTCCACCTCCTCCACCCTTCTGCTAACTCTCAAGCCCACACTCATTACCCCAGTGTGGACTTCTCCGGCCCGGGCTAAGTCCCCAGTTGATGGTCCCGCCCGCAGCATCCCGGCGCCTCACTGCTCGCTCCCTGGAGTACTGAATTCTGACCTGGGACAGCGCGCTGCGAGCTGCCCGCAGCCCCGCCCCTTCTCCACGCCCGCCAGGGGGCGCTAATGTCCTCTCCTCTAGGCCTCGCATCCGGGCGCTAACCTGTGTGGGGCAGATCTGCCTGGAGACTGCTGACCAAAGAGCCCCGCCCTGAGGCTGAGGTAGGGAAGTCTCGACAGGTGGATTCGGCAAGAGCGGGCTAGGAAAGGAGGGACGTGTGCCCTTGATGGAGAAGGTGGAGCACCAACGCTGCTCCCCAGAACCTCAAGTCTGATTCCACGCCCTTTCCCAAAATAGTCTGGCTGGCGCATTGGTAAGTGGGCAGATCCAGTGAGCCCGCGGCGCTTTCGTTTTCTCTTTCCTCTAAACAGCTCGCTTCTAGCCAGGTCGATTAGGCTAAGCCGGTTCCTGGGACTTTCCGGGAGCCCCGCCCCGGACCGCCTTTCTCCCTCCCCCGCGCGCCCGGGAGCGGACTCAGACAGCCCCCAGAGCCTCCTGCCCAGCCGGGAAGGCAGAGTCCCACTCCCGGGCGCGACTGCCGCGCGCCAATGGCCAGCTCAGGGTCCCTCGCTGCCGGCGGGTGCTTCTGCCTCTCTCGAGCCTTCCTCTTGTGGCTGGGGACAGCGCTGCTGCTTCTCACTGACTGGGTGCTGCTCCGGCCGGCTCTACCCGGAATAGCGTTCCTGCTGGTGCCCGCCTCGTTGCCGCTGCTCCGGGTCTGGGTGGTGGGCCTGAGCCGCTGGGCTGGGCTGTGGCTGGGGGCTCGTGGGGTCCTCAGGGCAACAGCTGGCACCAAGACTGAAAGCGGAGGAGTCCAGGGATGGCTGCCTTCTTTGGAGCCACTGGCGGCGGCTCTGGGCTTGGCCCTGCCCGGACTTGCCTTGTTCCGAGAGCTGAGCTCGTGGGGAGGCCCCAGGGACGCCAACAGCACTGGGCTACTGCACTGGGGAAGTCGCCTCGACGCCTTCGCCCTCAGCTACGCGGCGGCACTGCCCGCAGCCGCCCTGTGGCATAAATTTAGGAGTCTTTGGATGCGGGGATGTCACGGCGGTTCAGGGGACGCGGTGTGTCGGCTTCTAGGCTGCCTGGGCTCAGAGATACGCCGTCTCCCGCTCGTTCTGGTCCTATTGATCCTCTCCTGTCTTGGTAAGGGATTCGGGGGAGAGGGGGGACTGGGCAGGAATCAAGAGGCATGGTTAGTGAGATAGGTTAGTGAGTTCTGGGAAATGTGGATCTGGGGAAGGCGACCAGGCTCCGGTGTTGAGGATGCCACCTCCCGACCGGGTGGGAGCCAGCAGTCAGGACTCCAGTGCTGCTCCAGGCACTGCTTCATTGGACCACCTAGGGCAGGGCCTTTCCTCTGAGGCAGCGTCTTTAATACACGGACATCTTATTCCATGATATCTAGGCTTCCAAATTCAACCCATAAGGGTCTGGCGGGGCCATAGTGCTGTGAGTTTCAGGGCAGCCTGTTCAGGTGCAGGGTTCTGTTCTCAGTGTTGTTTCTGCGCTGTCCTCCAGGACTTTGGTGAGGGGTGGAGGAGTGCTCCGCTGGGGCAGACTGATCCTGGCTGACCTGCTTACCCTTGATATTTGTGACTGACACTTCTCTCCTCTCCCTCCTCAGGCGAGATGGCCATTCCGTTCTTCACCGGCCGCCTCACTGACTGGATTCTACAAGATGGGGCAGCCACTGCTTTCACTCGAAACATAACTCTCATGTCCACTCTTACTATAGCCAGGTCTGTGGCCCAAAATGGAAGGCTGAGAATGGGGGCCCCTGAAAAAGTGCTGTCCGAAGTGCACTTTTGTGGGGACCTTCTCTCTGGCCCTTGAACACACCCTGACCCTCCACCTTCCGTCCCTGTCTCTCTCTAGTGCAGTGCTAGAGTTCGTGGGTGATGGCATCTACAACAGCACCATGGGCCATGTGCACAGCCGTTTGCAGGGCAAGGTGTTCCGCGCTGTCCTACGCCAGGAAACAGAGTTTTTCCAACAAAACCAAACAGGTTTCTCATGAAACTCTTTCATTATACATCCACGTGTTAGTAATATCCCGATATGTCCCCTTTCACTAGTAATCTTGATCTCTCTCACACACATAGACATTGTCATTTCTTATTCTTGGTGTACCTCCAGAGCAAAATATTGCACTCTTTGCCTTCAGAAAAACTTAATTTTCCACCCAAGATTTTAACATAAATTTATCACTGTATGTGTATTTAGAAGAATTGCAAACCTGGAAATTTTGAGATCACAGAGTCCAAGTGGCTCATTTTACAGAAAAGGAAACTGAGGCCTAAACCCTAAATGCTGAAGTGTGCCTGGTCACATATGGTTAGAAATGAACTTGGGGACAGAATTCATTTCTTGATTTCCAATCCAGTGCTCGGTAGAAATATAAAAAGTTGCAGAGAACCAGAATTCTTAGCATTACAGAAATATAAAGTCTCTTTCTGCCTAGATACAGCTGGAGGCTCAACAAGTAGAAAGGAAGAATGAACCATAGAAACCCATGGAGTCTTATTCAATTACACGATAGAAGTCATCAACATCCCAGTTTCCTGGACTGCTCTCTAGAGGACCCTCCATTTTTCTCCAGCTCTGTTACATGATCAGCTTAAGTTGTTCTGGCCTACATGATATACAAGTTCTTCAAGGAACAGAAATCTGCCAGAGAAGTGGGAATATATATAGGTGTCAATTTCTGTATAGTTAAATGCAGGCTTTTGGCTAGACTTCTGCTCTACCACACTCTCCCTGCATTGAAATCCCAGAACTTCCCTATACCCCCTACCTTGTTTTCCTCAGCATCCTTAAAATACCATGTTGACAGCCCTCCCCCTGGCATCCTGGCTCACTGCTAGTCCCTCCCATTCATCTAAGACTCTCATTCACTCCACTCTCTTTTCCCCAACCCCTGGCAGGTGCCATCACATCTCGGATAACAGAGGACACATCCACCCTGAGTGAGTGTCTGAGTGAGAAGCTGAACCTGTTGCTGTGGTACCTGGTGCGGGGACTGTGTCTCTTGGGGCTCATGCTCTGGGGATCACTGTCCCTCACCATTGTCACCCTAGTTGCCCTGCCTCTGCTTTTCCTTCTGCCTGAGAAGCTGGGGAAATGGCACCAGGTATGTCCAGGGAGTTGCCTCAAGCTACACAGACCCTCATCTCCCACTTGGTGGACTCAGTTCCTCCCAGATTTCTTTCCTGGCACCTCAGTGATTCTCCATTTGTGGACTCCCTGTCTCTGTAGTCTGTGTTCCGGGGCTCAATTGGGAGTGTTGATTCTCATACTCTCAGTGTCTTCTAACTTCTGCCCACAATTGGTCTTTATGAATATGATCTCAAGAATATGACCTCCCCCCCACCAGCATCAACCTCCCCAGTCATTTTCTTCTTTTCTGGATCTCTTTAGTATCCAAGGGGTAAATCTGTCTCCCTTTCACTTCTCTCCTGTCCCCCTGACTCTTCTCACCTTTAACCTCCAACCAGGTAACCCAGGTACTAGTTTCTTTGTGGTTTGCCAACCCTGTGTGACATCTCTTGTCTATGTTTCCACAGATGCTGGCAGCACAGGTGCAGGAATCTCTGGCAAAGACCAGCCAGGTGGCCATTGAGGTTTTGTCAGCCATGCCTACAGTCCGGAGCTTTGCCAACGAGGAGGGTGAGGCCCAGAAGTTCAGGCAAAAACAGCAGGAAATGAAGGCACTCAACCAGAAAGAGGCCCTGGCCTATGCAGTTAACCTCTGGACTACCAGTGTGAGCACCTGGAAATGAATGCCCATTCCCTTGTCCCCAGGATGCCTTGGGTCCATTCCCTTTTCCCTGACCCTGCCCCACACTCCTCTTCCATTGAGCAGTGGTTGGTTCAGTGTTCCCATCCTAGCAATCAGTGGCTCAATCACTCTACTCAGTGTTCTTGACCTACTCCCTCTTTTTAGGCTAGAAGGCCTAAAACTCTAGCCTAGGGTTTTTCACTATGATACACAAAAACTACCTAATCCCCCTTTTAGGACGATGCCATGTCTTCCAGTCCTAGGACCTCCCTTTGTTTCTCAGGGGTTGCTCAATGAGCCATAAATTCCTACATCCAGAGCCTGCTTCATGCTGGGACTGTGCGGATATGCTAGTGAGAGCCATGGATGTAGCAGAGGCCAAGCATAGGGTGGCATCTGTGATGTGCTCAAAAAAGTACTAGACCAGCGATCAGAAGTTCCCAGCATGGTGTTGCCATTTACTAGCTCTGCGACCATGGCCTAGTAACCTATCTTCTCTGAAACTGTTTCCTTATTTGAAAAAATAGGAATGACTTAACTTTGTTTGTGGAGCCCTTGATGTGAATGTTAGATTATTCATGAAAGCCTTTTGTAGAGAGCAAAATGCTCCCCAACAGGGCAATGATAGTGATGGTGACAGTGATAATGATGATTTCTATCATGTGTAATTGAGTAAGACTCCATGGGTCCCTGTGGTTCATTCTTTCTTGTTATTGAGCCTCCTGCCATTACTAGGGGGAAAGGGACTTTATATCTTCTCAATGCTAAGGATTCTGGTTCTTTCCCCATTAGATTTCTACCACAGTCCCTTTTCTCTGTGGTTTCTCCACAGATCTCAGGGATGCTGCTGAAGGTGGGAATCCTGTATGTTGGTGGGCAGCTGGTGACAAGTGGGGTTGTGAGCAGTGGGAACCTTGTCACATTTGTACTCTACCAGATCCAGTTCACCACAGCCGTTGAGGTGAGCTCCTTCCAGTTTTACTCCCCCATGCTCCTCCTTCCCCTCTTCCATCACCATCCGTGTCACTTTCCTTCCATTCTTTATCCTTGTCACATCACATAACCCTGGCAAGCAGACTAAGTGCCTCTGCCACTCATTATTCATATTTCTGCTCCAGGTACTGCTCTCCACCTACCCCAGTGTGCAGAAGGCTGTGGGCTCCTCAGAGAAAATATTTGAGTACCTGGACCGGATCCCTTGCTGTCCAGCCAGTGGTGTGTTGACTCCTTCAAACTTGGAGGGCCTTGTTCAGTTCCAAGATGTCTCCTTTGCCTACCCCAACCGCCCAGATGTCCTAGTGCTACAGGTATAACCTCCCAGTCCTTGCATTCCACCAACCACTCTTTCAACGCTTCCATCCTAAATTGCCTTCCTCACTTCAGGCTTCTTAACACCAGGCACAGACAGATCCTTCCTCACCCCTCAAAGGCAAAGATGAGCATCATCTATCCCATAAACCTGCCCCAAACTGAAGAACCAGTTTGGATTTCCAAGGGGAATGGCAGGGAGGTTCTCAGGGAAGAAGCTCTCACTTCCTAAGGAATTGCTAAAGCAAAATCTCCAACCTTCCATCTTTACATTTTCTTATCTTTTGTGATTTTGAATGTGAATTTTTCCTGTTTTCTCATGGTATCTGATATCAAGTGTGTGGTATAGTGGTGCTTAGTCTTGGTTCCTGTCTTAGTTTCATCTTCCATCTCTGTGCATGTGGGAGGGTAGGAGTGACTATAGCTCCCCATTTTACTTCTTTTTCCCCTGGGGTAAGACATCATGTGATGCAACAAGACAGTGACACTCTGAAGGTTAGAGGCCTCAGTCTGCCTCTTACTGGGTGATTGTTCCTCTGGCCCCCAGGGGCTGACGTTCACCCTGCGCCCTGGTGAGGTGACAGCACTGGTGGGACCCAACGGGTCTGGGAAGAGCACAGTGGCTGCCCTGCTGCAGAACCTGTACCAGCCCACCCGGGGGAAGCTGCTGCTGGATGGGAAGCCCCTTCCCCAATATGAACACCACTACCTGCACCGACAGGTGAGCGGGAATGTGGTCTGGGGGAGGGTGGGGAGCACCAAGTAAGAAGAATAGTCTCACTGAGCACTCACTGAAAACTTGGAAAGAAGGGCTAGGGAATGATGGGAAACCTTGGGTGGAGATGGGGGTGTGGTCAGGAGAGAGGGTATATAATTTTGTGATAAGATATCAGTACTGATTTTGAGCCTTTGATCTCTATACAACCAATCCAGTGTTCTTTGTTCCATGATTCTTCATCCTTTTTTGTTCCAGATAGCTGCAGTGGGACAAGAGCCACTGTTATTTGGAAGAAGTTTCCGGGAAAATATTGCCTATGGCCTGATCCAGAAGCCAACTATGGAGGAAGTCACAGCCGCTGCGGTGGAGTCCAGGGCCCACAGTTTCATCTCTGAACTCCCTCAGGGCTACGACACAGGTGCTCTCTCCACTTGTGTCACCACCCAGACATCTGGACCTTATTGAAACCCCAATTGTCTTGCCTTTATTCATCACTTCTTCCCATTCCACTGACATCAATTTGAAGTTTTAAGATCTTGTTCCTGTGGCTCCTTCATCCTCACATCCTCAGAACTCCTCCGCTTTCCCAGAACCTTCCCTGTCCAGCTGTGTCCATGTACTTGTTCCATGACTCTTTGTCATATTTTGTCTTGGGTGGCTGCAGTTCTTGCGGGGGGGTGGGGGGGTGGGGGGGGTGTGCATGTGCACGGGTCCACTCGTGGTTATCCAGCTGTCACCTTGGCTCTTGTCTCTGCAGAGGTAGGCGAGGCTGGGAGCCAGCTATCAGGGGGTCAGCGACAGGCAGTGGCCTTGGCTCGAGCACTGATCCGAAAACCACGCGTACTCATCCTGGACGATGCTACCAGTGCCCTGGATGCAAACAGCCAGTTATGGGTGAGACAGTCCTCTTCTTAATGCCGAAATCCCACCAATCTCCCTTCCTTCACTCATGTGAGTTACATTAACATCATAATTATTTGCACTGGTTCTTGCAGTTCTCAGCTCCCATTAGCTTCTCCCCAGGATGCGTAGAACCAGTTACAAGAAAGTATCTACATTCTTAGAATCTCTGAAGCTAGAAATAAGGGAAAAAATCCTAATATTAATATTAACTGAGCTTATACTATTGCCAGGCATGCTACTAGGCCCGTTGCATGTACTGTCTCACTCATTTATTCATCCTGAATGCTAGTGAGCTGGGTGCTGTTATCCTTCTTCTACAGAGGATGAAATGGAGGCTAAGAGAAGTTGAATAACCTGCTCAATGTCATTCCTCTGTTGAGTAGCAGATCCTGGACCCAGATTCAAGTCTGCCTGACTTGAATGCTCATGCCCTTTACCACTAAGTTATACTTCTTTAAGACTGAATATAAAAATTCACAGTCCATAGGTAGAGAGACTATTCAATACCATTTGCTTTTTTCTTATTTGTTTCACCCTAGGACTCTGACTTTTATTCACTGTTGCTCCCTTGTATAAACAGTCCATAACCAATTGAACGTTTTACAGAGAAACGCTTAGAACTGAGTCTTCTTTGATCCCCCCTTGGGGTTGTTGACACAAATGGCGGTGATTTTGGTGAGGTCTGTCCTGGCTCTGGAAACACTGGTGTCTCTCTGGGCTGGGAGTGGTCCCCAGCTCTGACAGAATCCATGTCCCTTCTCAGGTGGAGCAGCTCCTGTATCAAAGTCCTGAGCGGTGCTCTCGGTCAGTGCTTATCATCACCCAGTGTCTCTGCTTGGTGGAGAAGGCTGACCACATCCTCTTTCTGGAAGGAGGCACCATCTGTGAGGCAGGAACCCACCAGCAGCTCATGAAGAATAGGGGACGCTACTGGACCATGGTGCAGGCTCCTGGAGGACTGGGTGCTCTGGAATGAAAGACTTCTCATGGTCCTCCCTTTTTTCCCTCCTTTCTGTGCTGGAGCATTTGGGAACGAAGATTTTACCGGAGTTGCAGAGTAGTCCGGAGTGGCATCCTAAAATGTAACCCCCTAGGTGATACTTGAAATTCTACCATGAGTGTTACCCTCTCTCGAAGATCCTCTTGAAAGATACAGATTTCCTGGAAGAAAACCTGGTTCATAACTAACTCCTAAGTGTAACTAGGTTGACAGCCAGGTCTGTGTGGATAGCACTCTGAAAATATTTAAAATATACAGAAAGGAAATATCAGCTACTTTCCAATGAAACCAAAAACACCTGCACGTACACACACACACACACACACACACACACGCCCAGAAGTACCGTGTGGATCCTTGATATTTATAATAAAATTGGTTGGTGTTTTGTACTGTGATTTCTTGCGTTTTCATCCCACGAAATGGCTCACCGACTTATGCAGCACATGTTTCAGGAGCCTGGTGTTTCCTCTCCTTTAGCATCCTTCTGTTTCACAACCCATTGTGCGCCATCTTTTCACCCAAGTGTTCGACATCCTATGGTTGCCCCTCCACTTCCCAATCTCCCCATGCCCACCCCCAAGGATGGGCCAGATTGGGGAATGGAGCCTTCTAAGGCACTAGCAGCATCGCTTATAGCCATGGCCTGTCTGAAGTGGAAGTTAAGGGCGAGTGCAGTTCCAGGAAGCGCAAGTGCGCCAGTTGAGCTCTCACTTCACCGCGCTGGCCAGGTCCTTTCTCGTAGGGTCCCACTGGCACCGAAGTGGCACCTGCCTGGCAAGTCTCAGCTCAGTGCCCAGGGTTATTTAGAAAATCTCTTCCAGTCAGGGAGGGCCATGGTATGTGACGGTAAGAGTTGCTGGGCAGATTAGGCCAACACAGGTTGCAAAGAGAGGCGGGGTTTAGAGGAGTTAAACTCAGCATTGCTCAGTCAAGCAAGAATTAAGCTAGGGGATGCGAGCAGAAGGGGCAGTTCTTGTGGGTGGTTACAGACTTGGGAGACCACTGAACCTGGAGAAGCCGTATGATGGACCACGTGGAAAGATGCAGAGACCGCGCCCTCTCCTTGGTGACCCTTTCACCCTCACGCTGCCGGTATATTCTGTTGCCTCAAGACTTGTCTTCAAGACTCACTGCCTCCACTTAACTCCTGTATCTCCCACACTTTGATAAAATGATGCTCATATGAACACCCCTCCCCAACCCCTAACGCGAAACTGCTTGCAGCCTCTTTCCTGCTGACTTCCCGCCCTCCGGTTGAGGCTACGTCTTTAGATGATATGGCCCATCGCATGTGCTGTCTCGCTACCCACTCCGTAACTTCCCAGAGGATGCCCCAAATTGCTGGCGTCTCTCACGGTAATCTCATCGCCAAGGGGACTCTCGAAGCCGCTCCATCTCTTCATTTCTTGTGACAGTCTACCACCCATTGTTTCCCCAACCTTTCTGAAGGCAGAGCAGAGAAGCTTATCCCCAGTATAATATACCTGGTGCCCAGACACCTACTAGCTTCTTCTCAGAAAGGACAAGGGGATGTGGAAAAGATTCTGGTTCCTCCCCTTAAGGCTGCGGGCTTTCGCTTTCACTTCCTTCTGCGAGTGCGGCAGATCTCCCGGTGCTAGGCGATCATGGCGCTGCTAGAGGTGTGCGGAGCCCCCCGAGGGCGGTCGGAGGACCGGGCTTTCCCCCTTTCGGGAAGACGGCATTGCTCGGACCCAGGACACTACAGTTTCTCTATGCGATCTCCGGAACTCGCCCTCCCCAGGGGAATGCAGGTCAGGGCTATAAGAGAACCCTGGGGGAGGCAGGGGGAGGGTGCGGAGGAACCGAGGGTCTGCCCGGAGATGGCCCGGAGACGGGGAAACGCGGAGCGGGGCCATCCTTGAGGCTTGGAGAGCCAAGTCCAGGGAAGGGACCACGTGGAACTCGCGGCTGACGATCTGAGAGTTAGAAGTGCGGATTAAGACAAAGGTAGAGGTGGGTGGGTGCGCCCATCGAAAGACAAGATCGTGTTCCTGCCAGGCCCGCATCACACACACAAAGCAGGAAGCCTTTCTCACGACGGGACTGTCTTATGATACAGGGGCTGTGAAGTATCTTGGAAAACCTATAAACTTGGGCGATTAGCCTTGCCTTAGTCACTCACTCGGTGACTGGGACCAAGTCGCCTAAACTAGATTTGGGCCTCTTCAGTAAAGTAGGGATACTAGGAGCAAATGTGTTTTGTGGGGGTTAGATGACCTATTAATAAAAAAAATATTAAAGTCACCCTTAGAATTTTTAGTTGTGGTAACATTTATTTTCTTTCTTTTCTATTGAATTGAAAAATAGAAAAGATCGGTGTCACATGCCTCTGTTTTTCCTTCTCCCAGGCCATTTCCTTGTAAGATGGGTTATTAACTATTCAGTTTACTCATGGTTGGAGAACCTCAGTGTATCTCCTCACTAGAGCACTCTCCGAAACCCTTTCTGGGAGCCTCCTGCATCAGAAGTTTTCATTGCCCCTTTGTCTTGTCTCCCTGACTAGCCCACTGAATTCTTCCAGTCCCTGGGTCCGAACGGAGAAAGGAACGTTCAGATTGAGATGGCCCATGGCACTACTACCCTCGCCTTCAAGTTCCAGCATGGAGTGATTGTGGCTGTGGATTCTCGGGCCTCCGCCGGAAATTACATTGGTGAGTGCCCTGCTCCAGCCGCCTGACTCTGGGGAGCTAGGCCCTCTTCTCAGCCCGACCCCAACCTCTGCACCAAAATGGAAGCAGATATTGACTTAAGACACACAGGGAGAGGTTTGGGGTCATTCTTCTCTCAAAACTCCATCTTCCTCCAGCCACCTTAAGGACGAATAAGGTGATTGAGATTAACCCTTACCTGCTTGGCACCATGTCTGGCTGTGCGGCAGACTGTCAGTACTGGGAGCGGCTGCTGGCGAAAGAGTGCAGGTAATTGCGGCCTCTCATCTCCCTTCTAAGGCTACTGGCCAATTCTGGATCCTGGATCCTCCAGATCACTGCTCCTCGCCCTTTCCCCCTGTGCTAATGTAGCTATTAGTGAGCATGTAGGTTTGCACAAAATAGCCTTTTGCTGATAACCTTTCCCCAAATCTGTTGATGTTCCTATCAATAAGCCAGATAATTTGTCAATTATTTAGCAGTGACATCATCAGTCCTGGTGGGACAGTGTCATTACTAGAATTTCTTTCTGTCGTTAAGATACTTTAAATCTCAAATCTCTTCCTGATTCTTAGATCCTACAGAACCATTCCCTTCAAATGCTTATCTCTTTAATGACTCCCTGCCCATCAAGTAGGCAGCTCATAGACCTAGCCTTCTGCCACCTCTAAGTCCTCTGCCCCCACCACCCTGTCCTCACCCAGGCTGTACTATCTGCGAAATGGGGAGCGGATCTCAGTGTCAGCGGCCTCCAAACTGCTCTCCAACATGATGTGCCAGTACCGGGGCATGGGCCTCTCCATGGGCAGCATGATCTGTGGCTGGGACAAGAAGGTGAATGCTCTCATTCTTCATATTGCTCCGCTGTTGATGAGAGGTCATTTCCCCATTGTATGCTTCCACTTTCTCCCCTTCAAGATATGTGGCACATAGGGTGCTCTGTTACGGATATAAGGCTGTTCCTGCATATCCACGGACATTTCTGGGTCCAGATGTGGACCATTGTTTCAAAAACTTGTCCCTTTTGATATACTAGCTGATTTGAAGTTCATTCTCCACCCCCCGCCCCCAAGTTCTATGATTGTTACTAAAGTGCTGTCCCAGCTCAAATATTCTTGTGGTAAACTCTTCTTCTTTTGTCCACTTTTTATGACTCATGCTTGAAACTGTATGTGACTAACAACTCCCTCTCTCTTTCCAACCTGGACCCTTCTTGCATCCATTAGGGGCCTGGACTCTACTATGTGAATGAAAACGGGACTCGGCTCTCAGGAAGTATGTTCTCCACTGGTAGTGGGAACACCCATGCCTACGGGGTCATGGATAGTGGCTACCGGCCCAATCTTAGCCCTGAAGAGGCCTATGACCTGGGCCGCAGGGCTATTGTCCATGCCACCCACCGAGACAGCTATTCTGGAGGCGTTGTCAATAGTAAGACCAGTGCTCCCACCGGCAAGCCCTGGGTGGGGAAGGGGGGTTTGACATTGGGAGACTGGGGGAGGCAGAGTGGCAGGGGAGAGGTTTTCAGGGTCTGAAGAGGGACACTGAAACCTCAGTAACAAAGGCTATGGTGTGTGTGCTGTTGTCAAGGCCTTGGACATGACATCATTAACAAGAACTTGAAGTGAAAGGTGACTCCATGTTCTTCCTCATTTGTCCACAGTGTACCACATGAAGGAAGACGGTTGGGTGAAGGTGGAAAGTACAGATGTCAGTTACTTGATGTGCCAGTACCGGGAGGCCAGTCAGTAACAGTGGTAGCAGTGGCGGCTGGGCAGGTCTCCTCTGGGGAAGCCTGGCAGACTCTGGAACCTGAGCCAGCTACCCTCCGGGAGAAAGAGGACCCTAACCTGAGCCCAGAGACAGGGAACCTGTCTCCAGGGGGGTTGGAGCAGAGTGTATTCTGTGTGTGCTCTCTGTTTCAAAGAGCATCCCCACCCACCTCAACCATCTGGGTGCCCCACTAAGCACAATAAAGGAAAAACGGTTTATAAAAGCCTCTGTATTATGGCTGAGTGAGCTTGGGCTGTGGTGGTTGGGGGAGGGAACAGGAAATAAAGAAAAGCTTTTCTTGAGAAGACAGACTCACACCCCTACCTAAGAAATGGGACCTCACCAAACATTTCTCCTGGGTGGTCCTTCCTACACTCATCTCATCGGGACCTCAGGGAGCATGGCCATTGTTATCTGTGGACATTTATTTGCAATTTCATTTAGATTAGGGCACCTAGAACAACTGTTTTTGAATTTGTAGAGTTAGATGAAAAAGTTTCCATCTTGAATGTGTGTGGTAATTGTAAACACAGTACCATCGACATCAAATAGCACTTTGGAGATACTGAATATTGAGTGTAAAGATAGACATTAGAGGTTAAGTTTCATAGTGTGTCACACTTAATTGCAAGCTGACAGGACAGCGATTGAAGAAGAAGAGATAAGGGGGAGGCTCTCAAGTGGGGACTCTGAGGAAAAAGTTAGGAGGTTGGAAAAATGAGACAAAACATTGAGATTTTGCTAGATCAAGCTGGAACATGGACAATTCGCCTCTCAAAGGAGAGTTAGTAAAAGGAAAAACTTGAAAGTAGGAAGTAGCTGAGCATAAAGTTTTTTTATTTTCATTAGGGAGAGATCTTTAAATTCCCAGAATGGGCAGAGTTGGAGAAATGTTAGTCATCCCTCGCTTTAAATGTCACCCCTTCCCCATTATTTTCAGTTTGAAGTGATTCATTGGTAGTCATAGCAATAATGTTTGCAAAGGGGGGGATCCAGAATCCCAGTGATCATCTTTGTTTCAGCCTGAAGAGTCATTTCTGGAATCAACAAACTTGCGTGTTTCATAGAGAGGCTCTGGGTCAGGCAGGACCTAGGGTACCCTGATGACTGTTCTAATAGGTGTTAAACTAAGCCAAGAAACCGAGTGCATTCCTTCATGTGCAGAAGGTGCTCCAACAGAATTTGGAATACACGTTTAGAGGGCTCTGGACACCGGCTCTGCTCAAGGTGCTGTGTTGAGGACGAAGGAAGGGGCCAGGAGCCTTCTCAGCTCAAAACCTGTTAGGTCAAAATCCACTCAGGCCTCCGTGAGAGTGGCTGTTGCCTTCTGTTTAGGAGACCCTACGTGTGTCCCGCGTCCACCCCCCCCCCCCCCCCCCCGCTCAGAACTTGGCTGTTTTTACTCTAAGACCCTAAAACTGGAGTTTGGGCAGGGGAAGAGGGCCCTTTTCAAAACAGGTTCAAAGCTTGAGGTAGTTAAGACCTCGAGGTAAGACAACCCAGTGGTCCTCCAGTTACAAAGGAGCCCAATCCTTGAAACAACTTTGTATTATTTAGTGACAGTTTTTAAAAAATGCAATAGTTTTCTATTAGAGTAACTGTTGTTGCTAAGGGCGAGATCCGGCAAGGGCTGGCAAGGGTTGAGGCCCGGGTGCGGCGCCTGCGGGGGTCGCGCCTGTGGGGGTCGCGCCTGTGGGGGTCGCATCCCGTCAGCCCGCCCCCCGCCGCCCCCCGCCACCGCCCTCGCGGCCCAGCATCCAGCCCCGCGGGAAGCGAAAGCGAAAGTGAAAGCGGCGGCGCGGGGAAGTCCTCGCGGGGAGCGCCGCGGGCGGACAGCAGGGGAAGGGAGGCGGGGGCGGAGGGAGCGGGGTTGCGAGCTCGGTCCTCGGCACTTCACGGGAAGACCTCCGGGGCTGCAGTCCCGTGAGTTCGCCGCCGCCGCCGGTGAGTTCTCGCGGATGGAAACCTGGAGTGCTCCCAGGACGCAGCCCAACCCGCCAGCACCCCGCACCCACTGCCTCCGGTCCCCCAGGAACCCGGTAGCGGGGGGCGGGGGCGGGGTGTGGGTCGCGGGGAAGTGGGGCAGCGTCGCGGGCGGGGCAGGGCCGGCCTGGCTCTTCGGAACTCCGCGGCCGCCGGGCCGTGGGGGGCGGCCGGGGGGAGGGAGCGGGGCGGCTGACGGCCGCCGAAGGCCAGGCTGTCCGGTTCCCTCTGTCGGGCAACGCACCCTCTGTCGGGGGAGGGACGTACTTACTGATGGGCACGGGATACCCAGGGGAGTCTTCAGGATAGGATCAGATAAAATAAGAAGCCAATTCGGCGGAGTGGGAGCGGGGAGCATAGGGACGAGGATTGGGCTTCCACCTCTATAATTTCTCACATTTCATCCGATAGCCACACCATGCGGCTCCCTGACCTGAGACCTTGGGCGTCCGTGCTGCTGGCGGACTCGGCTTTACTCTGGCTGCTTCAGGGGACTCTGGGGTCTCTGCTACCCCGAGGGCTTCCAGGCCTGTGGCTGGAGGGGACCCTGCGACTTGGAGGGCTGTGGTGGCTGTTGAAGTTGGGGGGACTGCTGGGATTCATGGGAACACTGCTCCCCCCGCTCTGCCTGGGGACTCCCTTGTTCCTCTCCCTGAGGGCCCTGATCCCAGGGGCCTTGAGTGCCCCCGCAGTCAGAGTGGCTTCAGCCCCTTGGAGCTGGCTGCTGGTTGGGTACGGGGCTGCAGCGCTGAGCTGGGCGCTGTGGGCCGTGCTGAGTCCCCCTGGGGCCCCGGAAAGGGAGCAGGGCCAGGGGAACAACAAAGCCTTGATGTGGCGGTTGCTGAGGCTCTCCAGGCCAGACCTGCCATACCTCACCGCTGCCTTCTTCTTCCTTGTGGTTGCCGTGCTGGGTGAGTCAGGAGAAGGCTTTGGGAATTGGAGGTGGGAAAGGTGCTTGGCACCAGCACATTCGTTTGTAATCCTGTCTGGTCTTTCAGGTCAGACATTAATCCCTTACTATTCTGGTCGTGTGATTGACATCCTGGGAGGTGATTTTGACCCTGAAGCCTTCGCCAGCGCCATCTTATTCATGTGTCTTTTCTCCGTTGGGAGGTAGGTGATGGGCGATTGGGTCTATTTGCTAAGCCCCAGATCTTTACAGGGGCCCACACACTCGTAACTCTGTTTTCAGATACTTTTGTGCACAAAGCACAACATACTTAAATCTAAAACATGCATGTATTTATTTATTCACCATTCTACTTCCTGTATTCATTCTTGCATTTTGTCATTCTCCATTTTTGCCCATCATATTTAAAGTTTATATTACATTATTATAGTACAAGTACAGTGAATATGGTACAAAAGATGTTCATGTGCCAAATGAAATGTCTCTCAGTGGCCTCTTAACATTTTTATCTCCATGAAATTCCAATTCTCCTTTGTCTTCTACCTCCCACCTTAAGTTTGTTTCCAAAGTTATCCTCTTGTTAGGGTGGGTATGTTTCTTCCTTTGACCATTCCCCGGACTCACCTTGTGACTCTCCAAAATTCTTACCCTGAAGCATCATTATTCTTTTCCACTTCATTTGCTTTTCCCCCTCTTTTTAGACAGGGGTCTGCTGGCAGCTAGCTAACTGAGGCCGGGACTAGGATGAGGTGAGTGAGGCACCCAGCGTGCAAAATGTAAGGAGTGCTTACTCTCAGGGTCCTGCCAGTACCTTGCTCTCCTCCCCCTAGTACCCGATAGCGCTCCTTTTAGGGTCATAGTTCATTCAGAAAATCAGAAACCAGTTCTTCATTATGTCTTCATTTCATTCTTGATATTTTTGCTGAAATCAATTACTCAAAAGTTTCTATTAACATTAAACTTTAAAACAATCAGTCCTCAATTCTCTTTGTGTCTCTGTAGCATTTGGCACTAGAATAATCTCTTATTATTGATCTCTTTTTCAAGTTAGCTTTTATGAACTCCCTTTCTACTTCCCGATTTACTCTCCCTACTCAGGTGAACATTCCTCCTCTGGGTCCTTAAATATGGACTTTTCTCATGACTCAGTTCTTTGATCTTTAAGAACATTTTACTGTTGAGCTCAGTTCATTTCTGTAGGTGACTCCAAGATGCATATTTCCATGCCCAGCTCCAGTCTTGTAATACAGTTGCCTCCTTGACATTCCCATTGGACAACCCACTCTCATCTCACCTTCCACATACCCAGAGCACCAAATACATCATATTCCTTCCTGGTCTTTCTGAAAGTGGCTTCCTCTTCTTATTCCCAATTATAAGATCAGTATCCTAGGCTACAAGCATCAACATCATTGATGCTTTTCTTACGGTCAAAACTAGTGCTCTCATTTTCTATTTTCCAAATATTTTTCCCATGGCTCCTTTCTTTTCATTCTCATTGTGGTCACCAAAGTCCATACCATTATTTTGTATCCTCACAGCCTTCTAAACATAGTAACTAGATTTGTATGAGAAACTCATATTTTGTAAAATACCTTCTTCCATGCTTTCACATTTTTCCTTCTTATTTTATTTTAAAAATCTGGTTGGTCTAAGAAGAGTTGTCCAGCTCCAGGGACTATGGTGATGGGGAACAGCATGCCTAGGGCACAGGAGCTTGGGAAGGCGGGGAATTCATTGCTGTGGTTTCCCCAGCAAAGTATCCGAAGTATCTGGGACTAGGAAGAAGGACTTTGAGGTTGGGGAGGAAAAAGACCAAGACAGAAGGGAAGCCTGGGTAGAGGGATGGCTGAAGGAGGACAATTCAGCCACAGCCTGTTTCCATTTACAATATCTTTGCATTTCTATTGTATTCTTCTCTGTGTCTAGCACAGAATGAACTCCATAAATACTGGTGAATTTGTATGGGTTAGGGGTTAGGATTTTTGTTCTCACGTATAGCTCACCGTGCCCTTTTTTCTTCCTTTGTTTATTTCTGCCCCTCTTGCTACCCTCCCTCTCCTGTTTGTTTCTCTCCTGCTTCTCACGGTATACTTTCTCCAACTTCGCATTTCTTTTCATTTTGTACTTTCCCCTGTTTCCCTCACATATTCCCTCCATCTCTGTCCTCTGTTCCCTTCATCATCCTGTCCCCTCCCCACCCCGCAGCTCGCTGTCTGCAGGTTGCCGAGGAGGCTGCTTCGTCTTCACCATGTCCAGAATCAACTTGCGGATCCGGGAGCAGCTTTTCTCCTCCTTTCTGTGCCAGGACCTCGGTTTCTTCCAGGAGA